ATTAGGTTTTCTAGAAAACGGGTTTTTTTCAGAAATCTCTATCTCAAGACCCCGAGCTGTAGCATAACCTTTCTTCTTCGAAATATATAGAACTCGACACGCTCTTTCATTTGATACCAACTTCAAAGTTCTACAATAGGGAATATGGCCAGCAGACGTTCTCCAAGTTAGGCCAGATCCATCGAAAAATGCATTTTTCCGCTGCGAGGGTAAAATGGCTATGACTTTTTTTCTAACAAGGCTAGAGACTTGCGGTTTTCACCATTCGGTTCAGCTTACTGAGCTCTATAATATGATGTAGGTCTCGTCACTGACGTCAAAGGTCGGTGTAAATGATGGCAGGTTTTATATGGATTGAGCCTATCCGTCAATGCCGAAAACATCACTTTCCAGTAGTAATATCCGTAAAAGTGAGTGTTCGCACTTTCAACTAGAAAGGAACTACCAGCCCTTTTGTAGAGTTTTGAAAGAGCTTTCTATTGATATATAATGTAGACCGCAGTCTAGGTCCTTTCATGATGAAAAAATAGAAATATTATCGCGAACGATGCTGAAAAGGCCATTTTTAACATTAATATTCCAAAAGCGTGGGTGTTCGCAGTGTACATAATAACTGAGCAATAGATAGTTTTATTCGCGTTTAAAGCTGCATGGAATGGTAAATAAGACTTTCCTTTAAACTTGTTTCATTCTGAGGAAAGTACGAAAAACACATCACAATGGGTTCGCGAATCTAATGGTCATAGTTAATCGATTTTCTCACAGATATCAAGCCCGAAGGGAAATCAGAGATCTGAATCACCATAGAAACACATGCTCTTTCATTCTAGACACCTTTTGTATCTGCGTGGATCCCCTTGGATCCGCATGGATATCGGAGCCGCTTCTTACGGTTTTTTTTCAGAGTTTTTCAACATTTTTTATCAAAAATAGAAGTAACTGTATCAGAAAACAAGTTTTCTCTTGTCAGTCTTAGAAGTACCTCAATCAAATGAGACAATAAGCAAACAATCAAACAAAAAAGTTTTTTCTCGCAATTCTTTCATGCATACCGTACAATGACTATATGTTTCAACTATAAATGAGAATTTTGTTATGTAATCTATATGAATAGTCATCTGTAAGTAAATAATCAGAAAGAGAGAATTGTAATAATTAATAGTTTGTTTACGGAAAAATCGTATTTAACTTTAAGAAAACGGCTAATTTAAAAAGTTTAGAAAATATTCGACTGCTTTTTTGACTAAAATGTCGCAGTTTGGAGATTTTTGATTCACCTTTTTTTTCTCTTCTTCCTACTGTCAATAACCTGTTTTTTTTTAAAATTCTACTTTACTCTATAGAATTAAGAAGAGAAAATCAGAACATACGTACGTTTTAAACAGAAAAGAGAGAGAGAACATAAAATGAAAAACAGAGAGTTATTGTACCACGTGACTTTTGAAACTGGGTTTTTTCACACATACACAAAAATTATCGCTTTCAGTAACAACAAGATTGATTTTCAAAGATATCATTTAAAAGAAATTATGCTGAAAACATGCTGGGAGACAAAGTGCGCCTTTTAGACTAGCGTTTTGTATCCGTTGAGGTTTCATCCACCTACTAATAGGCATACATAGGAGGTAAGAAGCAATGTACATCAGCAAAGGATAGAGCAAAGCTTTGTAAACAAACACATTTGAACTAAAATTCGAAAGAAACAGAAAATTTCAGATGAAAGTTTAGGCTTAACAAAATTTAGCACGGACGTTATTTTGGTAAGAGTGAAAGGAGCATCAAATTATGAACACAGTACAAATTATGAACGCAGTAGTAGTGAAGAGTCGTTATTGTTTACGAAATGTTCAACGTTGTCATAGAATGATTGGTGAAATTCATAGGCAGAAAGAAAAGACTGTTGCAGAGAACATGCAAGCAGATTGGTCTTCTCTAAGTCGTTTATTAAAAGTTTGTTATTAGTAGTTTTTAATTCTTTTATTTCTATGTTTTCTTTTGGGTTTATAAACCTTCGAATGCGTCTCCAGAAAGAAGGATCTGCTGAATTATTGGTGTTAGTACACGGTTTTTTTCAGCTGAGTTTCTTTAATTGAGATCTTCTCCTTGCGCATGGTTCTACTCAGCTGCCTGATTTAAACTTTAAATTCCAATAAACCGATTTTGTAATATATTCAAAAACTTTCTTTTCTAGTGAATCAGTTGGCGAATATACCCTCGGATAGCTATTCGATATTTAGGAAGCTTTCTAATAAAAATAGCTTTATTATATGCTGGGGAGATAGTCTTAGTCACTGAGTTACTAATGAGAATACTACCAGTAGAGTGACGAATAGAATTTAACAAAGAACAAGAGATGCTTGGAAGTTCATTACTGAACGCAGACCAATCGTTTCATTTAGTGGAAAAACATTGAGAAAATGAAATAAAATTTAAAACATATAAAAGTTCATATCGACAATGATAGAAAAGTGACCATGCGAAGACCATAGTTGACAAACTTCGAAAGATAGGCAAAATGGAATTAGGTTCCAAGTTATGATAACAGTATCCTGTATGTCTTTAAAGGTACCCCTCCCCTCTTTTTGGGCTTCCCGTAGAAATACTGTGAAATACAAACTAAAACTCATTAAAACTTCGTATTTACAGAACTGATTGGAACACTTTTTCGTTTTTGTTTCGAGCTTTTAAGTATTCCCGTTCACCAGTTTTGCAGAAAGCTCGGTTTTTCATTGGACCGCATCAAAAGAAAAAATTAAAAAATAGAAGAAGGTCCAAAAACATGATTGTTTGAGATGAAACACTGTATTGTATACGAAGTCGTATTTCATCATATACCGTCGTTTCCCTTCTGACAAAAAACGATATCGTAATACTGCAGGTGAAAATACAATACGTGTACGTCAGATTACTATACTATTTACCGTTTTGTATCCAACATTGTACACGATAGTTTACGGCAGTCGTAATCATGGATCTGGGTAATTTCATAATTGTACTCTGCGTATAGGGAGATTTGGGGAAGTTTGGCAAGTTCGAAGCTTTCCTAAATTTTGCGAACTCATTCGAGCGAGCACGTGTCTGTCGAACGTAATTTAAATTCGAAGAAAGTGCACTGTGTCAATTTTTCAGTAAACGTTCTGATCATTGCTCACGAGGGAAGGTCCCCAAGTGTCAAATCACTTTTTCCATCAAACCTCGTGGGTTATAGGTATTCGACCACGCTGATTCCGAATATTACCATGCCAGCGACTCTTAGACCTTCAGAGATCCTTTTGCTGGAAAACTGGTTTTCTAGAAATTTTGAACCAAAAGTTTTCTTAACGAGTTATAATTGTAGCCCGTAAATTTCTGATTAAAATGAAACATCTCCCAGATCGACATAACCTTTTTGTGCAAAGTTATATAATTTAGAAGAAAAGCCCTGAATGTTCATTATCTGCTCAAAGCTGCGGAAATACGAAGGGAAAAATTGGAGCTTTAATTAGCATATTTACATCAACATATGCCTGGTTTTCAGGATTTTAGCTGCAAATCTTGAAAGACTTAAGTCAAAATTATTTCTGGGCTTTTAAAACCCTAAAAATATCTTCCAAATCCTGAAAATCGATTTGGTTTTCTGAAAAACCTTTTTAGTTAAAAATTATGAAAATAAATGAGACACAATAGAAGACCCCTCTGGAAACTTTGTACGCTTGGACATACTAGAAGACCCGGGGTCTTCTATTGCGGGGAGGGGTTTAGTTGGTACTTACGCTGCAGGTAAGCGTAGCTGCAAAATTTCCACGGTAACTGCGCGCAAGTGCGGTGTAGTCTTCATAGCGATTTTCAAACTCAGGAAAACTACGATCACTGCGACGCAACTCCGCCTAACTATGATCAGTGCGTTGCAGATGTGCGCACTTACGAGGAAAATTTCGCAGTTACGCGTAACTGCATCGCAATCTGATCGTAATGGAACACATGAGTTGCCTCTCAACTAAGTCAGAATAAATCATTTTCAATTGTAGCTTTTTTGGCAACTTCCCACGGAAAAAAATTCGGAAGAAAACCGTGGTTTTAGTGAACCTCGAAAGTCAGATCGTTTATTAGGTTTTTAAGCACCGATCAAAACCGCGGTGAGAACAGAGATAACCGCGATTCGATTTGCAAAAACTTAGCTCGGACCGCGGTTGTCTCTGTTCTCACCGCGGTATTTAAGCACCGCGGTTTTGATCGGTGTGTAAAAACCTAATAAACGATCTGACTTTCGCGGTTCATTAAAACCGCTGTTTTTTTCGAACCATTTTTTCCGTGGGTTCGAAGAATGAGGAACACTAGTTCGATGTGAAAATAAGCTGAAACCTTGACTCCGGTTAGATCTTGCTGGAATTGAGCAAATTCTTCCTTTTTATTCTCTGTTTCCTATGCTTTCAGGTTTGAGCTCAGCAAGCCCAACAGGGCGAGACGTTATTTGCTGCAAAAATAGAATATAACCACTCTAATTCTATCACTCACCAGTACTGGCCATTACCGTTGAATCTAAATTAGTACAGTTTACATAAAACTAAACATCTTGTCTGTGACGTGCTAGTGAGATTTAAATCGGAAAGCATCACGCCGAAAGCGTCTTTCTCTTCATTCGATGGTGCATTGGAGCCAGATGTGTTTGTCTTTTCTTCTCGCAGTTGTGCGAGAAAATGACGAAATAGTTTCGGCGCGTAGTCAAGAAACAGATGCCCATTAGCACCTGTGTTTGTTTTATTGGAAGAGGAAACAGCTGAAGCGAACTTGGAGTTTGGTATTGGGGACAAAGTCTTGTGTCGTGTTGTTACTATTTCACCACCCACATCGAATGTGATCACAGCCTCTAATGATTTTGATGATGAATCGAGGCCGAGTTTTCGAAGCATCTTGTTGAATGGCACAGCAAGTGATGACGATGGTGGAGGATAAAACATGATTGAGTGACTGTTCTCTGACACTCGTAGTTGATCCAGCAAGTGGCGAAAGAGCATTGGATTGAAATCGAGAAAGATGTTCCCATCTTGATCATTGCCGAATTTATGTTCCCACCGACCATTGAACATTGTAACAAGAACAGAGTTCGACACGCGAGTCAGAGTCTCTCGAGTTGTCATCATCAGTTCACCACCGACATTGAGTCGAATCACAGCCATCTTGTCGACAGATCGTTGCATTTGTTGTTTTTCTTCTTCGAATTTTTCCCGGTCGACTTTCAACAGTTCTCGTATCTTGACCAATTCATCGCTTTTCTTTCTATGCTCAATCACCAGGTGCTCAAAATTTGAGCACCTCAAAATTTGAGCAACTCTCTCGCTATTTGAGCCTCAAATAGCGAGAGAGTTGTTGTCGATACATCAGCAGTGGCTGAACCGCCGTGTATAATCTCAGAACGAGGAAAACGGACCCTGTCTACACACGTAGACGACCATGTACAGCATTGTATACGCTCCGCATTTTTGGGTATTACATGAGTTAGCGTTACAATCGTTTATCTTCTTGTGGACACGAAGAGAAGCGCGAAGATCAGTTCTTTGTTATCATGAGATTTTTCCCATCGATGTTCTTGTTAAATGACTGTTTCAAGAAGTCGAGTGAGATGAAGAGGAGCCAGTGGACTTGAAGAGAAAGAAAGAATCTAATGCGGATCGATTCATGTCGAGCAAATAGAACTTGTTCAATCATTGAAAGACGTTTGAAACGAGAAATATACGAATTGTTTTGTTCAATCGAATAAAGAGACGAGTGATCTCGTTCATAACTGACCAAAGCAAAGTGTCGTCTCTCACTCTTGATACAGATCGTTCTATCCTAGAAAATCGTTTATTCTCTTGTGTCAGCAGATTGTCTCGATAATGTTTGTGTCTATTTAGCGAAAGATTCGATTTTTTTGACATTCTTGTCATTTTATTCGATAGTTGATCAATTCTGTTGACTCCAAACAGAGGCAGACCGCAGAGAATTAGGCAAAAGAAATTTCGGTTTTGAAAATTTCAGTGAAAAGTGGAAGGGTGAAAAGAAAGATCAAACAGATAGTGCGAGACAATGATTGGATTTCTAATCTTTGAGCGGATGATCTTCATTCATCAGGATTGCTAGTATTGTTGAGCAGAGAGAAAAAAGATCGATTCGCTTTCCCTTTCATATAACACAGCTGGACACAAAGTAAGATTCTTTTTCCACTGGACATCGACAACAATCCCCGCTTTCAGTTGTCCGATGAGTCAATTCTTTGTCTTCGTTTATCCGATGACAGACTAACAAATGACTCTAATGATTGTACAAGCAAAGCGCACGTGTACTTATGAGAGTAAACGTATATTATTGGTAGTGTCGTCCCTGGTGGGATTTTATTTCAATCGCAGATAGAAAGAACAGAGAAAATGTGACAGCGACCAAGCATGTGTATGCGTTGAACCGAATCGAAGAGGATGAGAAAGACGCTGTGTCGATCGATCCGTCATTCTAAAAGACGACAGCTTCAACTGCTCTCGATTTTTACGATCCTCGACGCACAGCTTTGATTCTCGTTGATCCCCTCAACGATTTTCTTGGTGATAAAGGCCAACTGACACAAGTACTGAAGCCGGTTGGTGACAAAGTTGGTCTCCTTCCTAATCTCCGCCTAGCCTTAAATTCGGCTCGCACAGCGCATTTGAAAATCTTTTACGGATGTCATCATCGTTACGAGGACGGATACCACAATGGATTGCGTTTTCTCAATTCATCCCAAGCTGGTACGGAGAAAAATAAAATGTTTGCACGTGGTCAGTATGGTGGTGATTATCATCCCGATTTGAAACCTGAACCAGGCGAAACAGTCGTTGTCGAACATTGGACAGCGAGCGCATTTGCCAATACAGATCTCGACATGCAACTGAAAAATCAAGGTGTCGATCATATTGTCTTGGCAGGACTCGTCGCTAATACTTGTCTGGAAAGTACAGGTCGATATGGAGTTGAATTAGTTTATCATGTCACATTTCTGAAAGATGCCACATCAGCATTAGCGAAGAAGCCTATCACGCTGCAGTGGATATCAACTGGCCTGCATTTGCTCATGCCATTTTAGCGACAAAACAATTTGTTGAAAAGCTCAAAACCAATTAGTAAACTTGTTTTCTTTCTTACAAGTGATTTTTCCTTCTATTGATATTACAGAAAAACAGAAAATGAATAGGAGAGATGGACTCATTTATTTAATTCTGAAGTATTAACCGAACACCCAACCATCTTATACTATTCGATAGAGAATTTTAAGCTCTACAAAACTAGGTATATGGTGGCGTCAAGTAGAATTTCTGTATGGGTTAAGGGTCAAAATACTGAAAATCGGCAAATGGCCAATTTTTAGGATTTTCGATCAAAGTCTATCGAAGAAGAGTTCTGCCAGAATTCCGATCATAGGCGGAGATAGCCCAAGTTTAGGTGCACCTTTGGTACAAATTCCAGCTTGATATCTTTCGTCACCATGTAAAAAGTTTTCAATGAAAGTTGGTCGACCACCGGCCTTTTCAGCGATTTTTAGCCTGTATCTCGACTATTGATCGCCACGTTTTCCAACAAAAACTCCTAAAACGGGTACTTTCTGCAGAAGTAAGGTGCCGGTAAGTCAAAACTCGAGCAACATTTTTCTACGATAGTTTTACATGAATAAGTAGAGCTCATCGAGCTCGACAAGAATATTTTGTGCTAAAAAATTTCAAACTATTTTGCTAAAATGAAACTTTGATAAAACTAAGAAAAAAGCTGAGAACAATCGATTTTTTTTACATTTAGTCAAATACGCTTTTTTCAATAGGATTATATTTTTTCGCCCTTCCTGCTGTTTTGGGAGTTCGAACGACTTTTCTTTGAAAACGCGTCTGTAAAACTGCACCTAAACAGAACAAAAGTGAACAAAAATTTTCCTAAAACAGAACACTTTTGTTCTGTTATTTTGGATATTGTTCCCAAAAGGGAATCATACTGTTCCCTATTTGGGAAGAGAAAGCATGAAGTACGATGAAATACTGTGAAGTACCGTTGAAGTACGGTTGAACTATTGTTCGAAAAAGTGACTACTTCGAAGTACGTGAAGTATGAAGTTGCGCTTTTTCCCCCTTGTTTTTATGTCATTTTAATCGTCGTATGACTACGAAAACAGTAATGTATCCTTTTTTCAATTCTGCATTATTCCTTCGAAAATCAATTGCATCTCTGGTAGATTTTGATGTGCTCTTCCGAATGAGACCACTTTTGGGCAAATCAACCGGACCGACTGGAAAAATTTCATTTTTTAAGTTGAAGGTGCCTTTTTGGGCTTAATTAGTGAGGCTACTAAAATTGTTTAATTAGGAGAATACAACGTAGTATGATGCGTGGCACTGATTTTGGAAGAATAGAAAATTACGTCCCAATCAAAATATGTAAACATTGCTTTTAGAGTTTGTGCAGTTTCATCAGCAGATTTTCCTCTGTTTGCAATTGATTTTACAATGCTTCTTAATCCAAAAACTTCTTGGTCTTTCACAAATTCTTTTAAATTAGTGATTTCACTATAATATTGTATCAATTCTTTTACTTCTTTTTCGAAACGAGGCGGATCGAATTGTGTCGTATGATTATATGCTTCTTCACATCCTTTGATCACAATTGCAATTAACGATGCTAAGTTTTTTATGTTGCCACTCCATATATCAACCTTTTCTGATTTATAATGGGCGCAGTGTTTGAAGAAGTCCACTACTTCATCGTTACCGAGAATAATTAGAAACAGACTATATATTTGATGTATTCCTTCTGTGTGATCATTACATCTGGATATTACCGCGTTTCTTACGTTCTCTCTTCCTATTTTGTTTTTGGCTCGATAAAAAGCTTCATAGATATTCAATAATGTTGTTAATTTCGTGGAAATTTCACGGTAATTTTGTTTTATTTGTGCACATTCGACTAAGTGACCAATACTTCGTACTATTTCTGCGATTTCTTTTAGCTTTACCAAAATCTGATCTAGTTTGACATCTAGATCACAAGTGGACGGAGATTGAAAACCAAAAACCGATCCGGCAAATGAAGCTAAATCTGAGGCAGCTTTCAAAATATCTTGCTTTGCGGCGCTACTCATGGTGGCTAGAAGCTTTGCGCTTACCTCTAATGCTTCTTTAGTAACACAAGAGTCTCTTGTGTTACTAAATAATTTGATATCGTTAGAGCTCTCCATTGCTTCGAAATCATCGGCGATTGAAAAATCGTACTTAGCCAAAATTGATGTTGTCATTATGAATAATAAACATTGAATGAAAATTAAACTTCTAAGCATTTTTTATCTATAAAAAAATATATTTAAAGGAAAATTAAGGCAGGGTCCACGAGAAAACCGAGGATTGTGCTAGACAGGCATATCATGGCCAAAATCCAAATCTGAGGGTGAGTTTATATAACAAAGTTCAGGTATAGATACGCCTGATACGCGTTTCGATTCTTGCTTAAGGGATCTTCATCAAGTATGTTTGGGATCGTCATTGCATAAATAAATAAGAGAGCTTCCATAAGGTCATCGAGGACCATGCCAGAAACTGAAGCACTTAGGCATGCACCAAAAACAATACTGATTTTGAAGCTTTGGTTTTAGTTCTGAGGTTCTTATAGTATCGCAACAAAGTAAACTGTTTCTTCTTTTTTCCATTTCCTTTCTGTTTTCTTTTTCTCAATATGATCGGGGTCTATAAGATATGATAGAAACGAAGCGAGTCTAGGAGTATTATTTAACAACCTTCTAAGGCGGTAGGTCATGGCCTACAAGCAATGGATGTTATATGTCAACAAGAAGGTGCTCTATTTCTACTTCTCTACAAACTATTGGTATGACAACTTCATGTTCTGCCTTAAATAATCGAATGAAATAGACGCGAGTTGAGTCATGGACCATGACTCATGGCATAGAATAATTAATGGTAACAAATCGTATTATTGTGGAAACATAGGGACACATTACGTCAGAAATTTTTTGTATGTTGATAAGCCCATGGGTGGGCTGAATTTAGAACTCTGGCCCATGGGCTGGGCCGGTAGAAAACTAAATGACCCAGGGGTCTGATTTCTTCAGCCCAGCCCGGCCCATCCGGAGCCCTGGTTCACTAGAAAACTTGGCTTTTCCAACACAAAAAATTATTGGAACACTTGCGTTTATCGCAGTTCAGCTCCTCTCCAGTATTACGAATATGCTTTCAAAATACGGCATTCGAAAGAGAAAATTCTCCTCGTCACGCTGAGCTACTTTGAATTGAAATCGAACTTGAAAATAGGTCGGAAATGAAAAAACTCCTCGAAGACCCGGGATAAACAAACAGCGTTTTTATAGATTTTGACTACATCATTTTTCACTTTCAAATACACCATTTGAAAGAGCATCGAAAACTGAATATAGGGATGTGCTTGATGACACTAGGTAAGACTTGAATCTGAGTTTAAAACATGAGTTTTTCGTTGCTAGTTCATAGATGTCACTCAGACGAT